GCCACAACTGAAGCACTGATGGAGGCATGTACATATTGATTGATCGATTGATTGAATGAGACGGGGTCTCATTCTGTACCCCAGGCTGGAGTGCAGTGGTGCTGTCATAGCTCACTGAAACCTCAAACTCCCAGACTCAGTAATCTTCCCACCTCAGCCTCCTGAGTAGCTGGGACTACAGGCTCATTCCAACACACACAGCTAACTTTTTAATTTTAATTTTTGGTTGTTAGTAGAGATGAGGTTTCCCTATGTTGCCCAGACTGGTCTTGAACTGCTGGGTTCAAGTGAGCCTCCCACCTCGGCCTCCTAAAGTGTTGAGATTACAGGCCTGAGCCATCATGCCTGGCCTTGTGCTTAATTAAAGGGAGGAAAGATATTAGACACTTGTGGGTAGGGGAGGTGAGGGTAAGGCCCCATGGAATAGATAGCATTTAAGCTGAAAACTTAAGGATATTTAACGTTATTTTAAAAATACCTCTCATATCAAAAAGGTTTAATTTGTTTATTGTTAGAAAAATTAAACTCTGGCAAATAAAAGCATAAAAAGTAATAAAAGTCACTTGAAATTCCATGACTCACAAATAATCACTGCTAACATTTTGATATGTGGATTATTTTGTTATTGATACAAAATTGGAAGAGTACAACAGGTAACATTCTGTATCCTGCTCTTTCTCACTATTTTGGCAAGAACATTTCTCCAATGTTACTGATTGTGTATTGACTGAAATGTGTTATTTTGTGGGGTACTACTTCACTGTATAAACCTGAAAATTGGATTCTTCAAGCAGCACGAGCTGATATTAGACACTTGTGGGTAGGGGAGGTGAGGGTAAGGCCCCATGGAATAGATAGCATTATATTATAATTCCAATAGAATTGAATTAGTAGATATGTTGTGCAGTGCAAGAATAGCTTCTTTTTTGGTAATTCATTTCAGAAATACGTTTTGGATACTACAACCTTGGAGACACAAGGCTAAGAACTGACTTTGTCTTTTCAGAGTTTGCAGTATAGAGGAGACAGACATTAATTATGGAATCAGAGAAATAACTATAAAATGGCATCCAAGATAAGTACCATAAAGGGGAAAGATGTGTGGTCTGAAAGTGTATATCCGGAAGAAGAGAAATAGCCACAGAAGTTTGCAAAGGCTTGCTGGAGTAAAGGGTAATGGAGCTCAGCTCTATCAGAGTTAACTAGGTGGAGGTCATGGACATTACCAGCAGAGGGAACAGCATGTGCAAAGGCCTTCAGTTGGAGGCGGCATGATGAATTCAAGGATCTGAATGAAGATGAAGGACATGGAGTGGAGAGACTTGGCCTGAGAAGGAATTGAATTAGTCGATAGAATTTGAACCTGCAGAAACTCTTAGACCAGGTTAAATGTTTTTGTCATTTCTCAAAAGAGCAAGAACTATTGCAGTGTTTTAAACCAGGCAGGATAGGACAATAAAGATGAGATTTGCTTTTGTTCTTTTTTGAAAGAATCCCCTCTGCAGGAGTGGGATTCCCGTCTCTTCACCCTACTGTAGTAGGAAGGGAGCAAGAGAAGATATAAGTAAATCAGGTTTGGATGACTAGTAACCCAACCCTAGTGAGAGAGTGATTGCAATCATCTGGGCAGGAGATGATGAAAGATTAATTAGAGTGGTGAAGGGGAAGATGGAGAGAAGTGGGTGGTGTTGACAAACATATTAGGAGTAAAATTTTTAGGACCTGGCATGGCATGTGAGGAAATATGATGAGTCCGAATGACTCTCAGGTCTCTAGCTTGAATAACTGGATGGACGGAGGGTTCTTCCCTAAGACAGAGAACACTGAAAGGGGGCAAGGGTGGAAAAAGACAATCTTGAGTGTTCTTTTGAAAAAGAAGTTTGCTACAAGGAACAACTCCAGGAATGGTAAGTCTTATCACATCAGCTTCTTGCAGAGGTGGGTTTTACTGTTTACACACCATACTGAAAGTGTTCAATTTTTAAAGGTCGGTAGTATTGAGGAGAAAGCAAACACTATGCCTGGATGTCATGTCTCAGTACCTGTTTCAGGTCCCTGAAACATTGCACCATTGCTTGCTGGGTGCAAAACATTGAACAAGTCATTTTAAGGGTCTATGGACCTTAGCTTCTTTGTCTTCAATAGGAAGGTAATAACATTTAGACCAAAGGGTTCTTGCAAAGATTAAAGGACAGTACTGATATTCAAGGACTTCATAAACCTCTGTGAGCTGTGCAAACGTGATACATTTTTATTCTGATTCCTATATTAGTTATTACCACTTAAAACTCAATGCTATTAATATTTGGAATATGTAATTTAATGTTTCTCCATGAGTTCTTAGAGGAAAAAGTGTGATTGATGTCTAAATAAACAAACATATAACCCAGGACCTTGAGATGGTGGCCCCGGACTGTTTAGAAGCCTGCGTGTTTACTTGAATTTAGATATTCTGACATGTAAATTATGCAGAGTTTGTGTCAGAGCAGAGCACTCTGTATTCCTAAAAAGAACCCTCCTTTCTTCCCCCTGAATCCTTTACCTTTTAAAATAAATCTCATTATGGAGTGCTGCCATTTTCAGTAAAACCGTTCAACCAAACGCTGCAGTTTTCTTAGACTAACAACAGGCTTGGTTTATTCGGCGGCAGCTTATAACCTCCTGCTAAGTGGATGCAATCTAGTTAGGGGAGTTTATGTAGGTATCTGATAAGAAGTTTTAGTCTTCGTCTCTTTCTGACTAAGACTGAGAATGTCAAGCAGACTATGAAGAATTCCCTCTTTTTCTCAGAGCGGGGAGGAGGTGAGTATCACTGTATGGAGGTGAGGATCCAGTGGATGGAAGCTGTAGAACCAAGCCTTCAACCTTATGCCATTTCCTTTGACAATACCACAGACTTTACTATGGTATTCTAGCTGAATGAGTCTGGTTATCACCTTCTTCAAAGGGTTGTGGTGAGATACAGAAGTAATACTTATGACCATATAATGGCTGGCATATACTAGAACCTCAGTTAATGACCTCATCCTTCTTTTCTTCTTTTTTCTGCTTCTCCTTTCTTCCTCTTCTGTCTCCCTTTTTCTGTCCTTCGTAGCTTCTTCTGTATGTCCTCCCAGTGACTCAATTCCTAACTTCATCTTGCCTATCTGTCTTTAGACTACACTGAGAAATGGCACATGATTGGGTCACCCAAGTCACTTAGTGGCACAGGTCCCTTCCAGCAATAATAACAGCTAATTTATAAAGCCCTAACAGGGAATCATTTTTTTCATCTTCTCCCCAAACTGATGATGTGAATACTAGTATTGTCTTCATTTCACAACATGGAACCTGAGACTTAGAAAGGTTAAAAGTCCAATATTACGGAGTTAATAAGTGATAGAGCTACAGATTTCCACCTCCACCTTCACAACCCCTAAAGGCCTCCGAAATGATGATAACTGGATTTTATTTATCTACTCAATAGTTACGTATTTAGTGCACGCTATTTGATTGGAGGGTTTGGAGTGAATAGCCCAACAGACACAGTCTCTGCCCTCATGGAACACACACACACACACACACACACACACACACACACACACACACACAGAGTTAATACTCAGCCTACTCAGCTTGTACTTATTAGCATTTCCCTACCTTCAATATTGTGGTGTATATTCTGATCGGTCAGTGCCTACATGGTAGCCATTGCTAAACGTTTTATATTTCATTTCTTCCTATGAACTGTGATAAATGCTGCAAAGAGGAAAAGATATCTGCTTTGAGAAAATGCAATGAGGCCAAGTTCATACAGGAGTTTAGGAAATCCTCTTTGAATGATACATTTGAACCATGACTTGAGCAATGAGTGTTTTCAGCCTACTTTGAGATTACCCTGGGTAGGGGCCAGATTATATAGACATGTAGTCCATGTTATGAACCTTGCATTTGGTCCTAAAATTAAGGGGATGGTATTTAATAAAATGAATGGAGAATGACATCATTCTCTTTATATGTTAAGAATTGCACTGTGGTTACTGTGTGGAGAATGGTGGGAATGGGGTGCCCATATCATTTACACATTAGATTGATTCTGTTTTGGGAAGATTCAGACATGAATTGGTCATAAATTCACCTTTTCAGTTTTTTAGAGAAAACAAAACAAGTACTAAACAATTTTAGTATAAATCTCGAAGTGCTGTATCCTAAAGGCTGTATTAGACAGACAGCAAAACTGCTCTCAGTCTGGGGAATTATGAGCCATGTTCACTCTTTTAACAAGAAGCAATCGCTTTTTTCTTTCTGTTCTCTCTGTTGGAGAAATTCTTAACTCTCAGTCAGAATTTTCCATGTGTATCCTGGAAAGCTCTCGAGCCCCAGGTCAATTACTTCAGCAAACACTTATCTAGTGTCTACTTTGTCTCAGGTTCATAAAAATCACACTTCACCTGTTTCACTACATTTCTACCACAAGGATATGGTAGGATGAGCTGTAAGTATGAATGAGATAACTTGGAAGACAGAAGACCTGTGTTCAAGTCTTCGACTTATTTCTAGTCAGCAATGCAACCTTTGGAAAGTAGTGTAGGCTAGTTCATAGTGAGTAAATTTTGTGGTGAAGATTCAGCTAGAACAAAGAGGTATTTTTGGTGTCCATGAGGGAAGATGTCCTTCATGATGTTTCCTTGAGAACTGGGAAGATGTGGGGAAGTATGAGTCAGTCAACTGCTAATACAACACACACTTGGTCTTCCCTTAATGGATTCCATCATGGGCAATCAACCATCTCTGAACTCTGGGATGATAAAATGTTTCTCCATCATCTTCCAGTTTTCCTCCTTCTTTAGTCACAGGACCAGAATGAGTGGGGTAGTTGTGTAGTATTAGGTATTTCTCAGCCTCTTTCCCTTTTGAGTTGATCAAACGTCACTGTTTTCTGTGCTAGGAGAGATGTGAATGCCATTGTTTTTAACCTAGGCTATGTTATCCATTTGTATTTGCTGTGATGATTCTTATAGGATAGACCACTGGAACAATGAGAAGGAGAGAATTTTGCTGGTCACAGACAAGACTCTCTTGATTTGCAAATACGACTTCATCATGCTCAGTTGTGTGCAGCTGCAGCGGATTCCTCTGAGCGCTGTCTATCGCATCTGCCTGGGCAAGTTTACCTTCCCTGGGATGTCCCTGGACAAGTGAGTATATATCTTAGACTTGAGGAAGTGGTCTAGCAGGGATGGACATGCAGGGAAAACAACCCGAAAATTCAGTTTGGCACTGTAAGCTGGGAGAACCCAAGGGAGGATAGTGAAATCATTGAAGTTGAAATCATCAAACTGTAGAGTTCTTACTCTATGTTAGCCTCCAGGTATGCACAACTTTAAGTAAATATATTAGTTTGTTTTTATGCTGCTGATAAAGACATATCTGAAACTGGGAACAAAAAAAAAGGTTTAATTGAACTAACAGTTCCATGTGGCTGGGGAGGCCTCAGGATCATGGCTGGAGGCAAAAGACTCTTCTTATATGGTGACAACAAGAGAAAATGGGGAGGGAACAAAAGCAGAAACCCCTGATAAACTCATCAAATCTGTGGGACTTATTTATTATCATGGGTCTAGCATGGGAAAGACCAGCCTCCATGATTCAATTACCATCCTGGTTCCCTCCCACAACACATGGGAATTCTGGGAGATACAATTCAATTTGAGATTTTGGTGGGGACACAGCCAAAACCTATCAGTAAATTTGTGTGAGGACATGACAAGTAAATAGTTAAATGTAAGGAAGGAAGAGCTGTGGGAACATGGGGGAAATGTGCTTGACCTAATTTGTGTGTCAGATAATCAGAGAGAGCTTTCAGAAGAAACACTTGAACCAATATTTAATATTGGGTAGGAGTTAGCCAGAGAAGGAGAACTGAAGGGGAAGAATGTTCCAAATAGGTAGCTCAAAAGTGTCATGCCTCTGGGAATTGAAATTATTCTGTAAAGCTCAGTGGATAAAACCAAAATGGCTAGTAGCTCTTCTTATAAAAAGTATCTTTAGGATTATTCCTAAAAGCTCAGTGAGGTGGGGGTGGCAAGATGTGTCAACTGTTTCACAGATGTTGACAATTACCAAAAGACTTGGTGAGGTCTACAGAGGAGAATGCTGAATTGGGTAAGTTTCTGTCATGGCCTTGGACTCATCTGCCTTTACTGAACATTTTAGATCTAAGCTAGAGAAACAAGACTTCCTCTAAGACTAAATGTGACTTCCCATTGAATTGTGAATTCCTTGAGGCAAATGCTGATTTTGTTGTCCTTTAAGCACTTGGCATTAGGATTGGCACATAATAGGGTCTGAAATCTTTTTAAGATACAGAAAAAAGCACAAGTTGATCAAGTGATTGGTTTTCCTTACACTATGCGTAAGACATAAAAAAACTTATTTTTACTTGCTTCTTTCATAGATGCAGGAAGTGATTAATTTATTAAGTTCATTAGCTTTGAAAACTGGTTGATTTTTTTAAATAGTAATATTACACATTATAAAATATATATTTAAATTTACAAAAATATTTATTTTTGGGAACTCTCTTTTCTACACCAGACCCTCAGTTCTTCAGCCTTTTCTCCACAGGGGATAGTCGGCAGTTTCTTGTGTATTTTAAAATAGTCTACAAATATAAAAGAATAAAAAGATCTATTTTAGTCCATTATCATGCTGCTGATAAAGACATACTTGAGACTGGGCAATTTACAAAAGAAAAAGGTTTATTGGACTTACAGTTTCTCACGACTGGGAAGGCTTCACAATCATGGCAGAAGGTGAAAGGCACATCTCACATGGTGGCAGACAAGGGAAGAGAGCTTGTGCAGGGAGACTCCTGTTTATAAAATGATCAGACCTAGTGAGACTCATTCACTATCACAAGAACAGTACAGGAAAGACATGCCCCCATAATTCAGCACCTCCCACTGGGTTCCTCCCATGACATGTGGGAACTGTGGGAGTTACAATTCAAGATGAGATATTGTTGGGGACACAGCCAAACCATATCAAGATGTCCCTGTGTATGTATGCTTGTATGCATTTCAAAGTATATATCTACACACATATTTATTACACGTTATTTTACCTAATGAAAGCACACACCATAAACTGTCCTGCCTCATGTTATAATATCTACCATTGGTATAACTTGAAGACTTGCATAATCATTTATAGATCAATCTCAATATTTTTAATTGTGCAGAATATTACATCTTAAGCCTAATTTATTTAGCTGGTTCTTCATTGATGTAAATCTATTTTTACTATTGCTACTACATACAAAGTTCCACAGATAGGTAGGGCAGGGACACAATGCAGCCAAGTTCTTTGTTAAGGCATGACAAAAGTGCCCTTTGCTCCAGTTCCAAACAAGTTTCTCATTTATATTCAAGACTTAATCAGCCTGGCCTTCAATGTCTATATCACTATCAGCATTTTGGTGACAACCATTAGCCAGTCTCTAGAAAGTTCCAAACTTTTTCTCATCCTCCTGTCTTCTTCTGAACCCTCCAAGCTCTTTCAGCCTCTGCCTGTTACCCAGTTTCAAAGTTGCTTCCATGTTTTTAGGTATCTTTATAGTAATGCCCTACTCCTAGTACCATTTTTTTGTATTATTATGTTCTGTCATTGCTATAAAGAAATGTCTGGGGCTGGGTGCAGTGGTTCATGCCTGTAATCCCAGCACTTTGGGAGGCCGAGGCAGGTGGATCACAAGGTCAAGAGATTGAGACCATCCTGGTCAACAGGGTGAAACCCAGTCTCTACTAAAAATATAGAAAATTTGCTGGGCATGGTGACATGTACCTGTAATCCCAGCTAGTCAGGAGGCTGAGGCAGGAGAATTGCTTGAACCCAGGAGGCAGAGGTTGTGGTGAGCCGAGATCGCGCCATTGCACTCCAGCCTGGGTAACAAGAGCGAAACTCCATCTCAAAAAAAAAAAAGGAAATGTCTGAGACTGGATATTTTATTTAAAAAATAGGTTTGTTTGGTGTCAGGGCTAACACCAGTAATCCCAGCACTTGGGAGGCTGAGGATGGTGGATCACCTGAGGTCAGGTAGACCAGCCTGGCCAACATGGTGAAACCCTTTCTCTATTAAAAATACAAAAATTGGCCAGGCATGGTAGCACATGCCTGTAATCCCAGCTACTTGGGAGGCTGAGACAGGAGTATTGCTTGAACTTGAGAGGTGGAGGTTGCAGTGAGCCGAGATCAAATCACTGCCCTCCAGCCTGGTGACAAAGATGGGCTCCATCTCAAAAAAAGCAAAAAAAAAAAAAAAAAAAAAAAGAGTTTTAATTGGCTCAAGGTTCTGTCAGCTATACAGAAGCATCACATCTTCTCTTTCTGGAGAGGCCTCAGGAAGCTTCCAATCATGGCAGAAGGAAAAGGGGAGCAAAGCATCTCATGTGGTAGGAACAGGAGCAAGAGAGAAAGTGGGGAGGTGCTACACACTTTTAAATGACCAGATATTACAACAACTCATTCACTGTCATGAGGAGGGTACCAAGAGGATGGCACTAAACCATTCCTGAAAAACCTGCCTCCATGATCCAATCATCTTCCATTAGGCCCCACCTCCAACACTGGGGATGGATTACAATTCAGCATGAGAACTGGAGGGGACACACATCCAAACCATATCAGTGATCTGTGTCTTCTCTCTCTCTCTCTCTCTTTTCTGTTATGATCATACCAATTTTGTTGGTTTTTAACAAGAATGTGCTTTTTTCTTGGTTAATTTTTACTATTATTTTGCTAATTACTCAGTTGATTTCTGCTCATTTCTTTATTATTTCCTTTCTTCTACTTTGGGTTTACTTCATTTTTTTCTTTTTCTTTTTTTTTTTTTTTTTAACTGCTTAAAGGGAAACCCAAGGCTATTGATTTTAAACTTTCCTTGTTTTCTAATATGTGCATTTAGAGCTATAAATTTCTGTATAAATTCTACTTTTGCTGCATCCCAGAGATTTTGATATGTTGTGTATCCATTATTATTTAGAGATATTTTTAAATTTTTCTTGTGATTTTCTCTTGACCTATGGATACATTATAAGTTGTATTGGCTACATTCCACAATACTTCACGTTTTTATAGATGTCTTAATTCTACTTAATTCTAATTTAGAAAGCATACTGTCTTTAATTTCATTCCTTAATAATACTTTGTGATTTGTTTTATAAAGTGCATTATGATATATCTTTGTGAATTTGTCATGTACACTTGAAATTTTTTTCTCTTTTTTGAGATGGGTCTCACTCTGTCACCCAAGTTGAGTGCAGTGGTGCGATCTCAGCCCACTGCAACCTCCGCCTCCTGGGTTCAAGTGATTTTCCTGGCTTAGCCTCCCGAGTAGCTGGGGTTACAGGCACCCGCCACTATGCCAGCTCATTTTTTGTATTTTTAGTAGAGACAGGGTTTTGCCAGGTTGGCCAGGCTGGTCTTGAACTCCTGACCTCATGATTGGCCCGCCTCAGCTTCCTAAAGTGCTGCTGCACCCAGCTGGCCCGTACACTTGAATTTTATTTGTAGTTTTCTACAAATATCAATTTGTTTACTGTGTTTGATAATGCTATTTAGATTATACATTTTTTTACTGATTGTTTTGTGTAGTCTTTTAATAATGAGCGGAGTGCAAAAATCTATCACCGTGGAATTTTCTAATTTCCTTTTTTTTAAATTGTACTTTAGGTTCTGGGGCACATGTACAGATCATGTAGGATTGTTGCATACGTACATACATGGCAATGTGGTTTGCTTCCTCCATCCTCCTGTCACCTACATCTGGCATTTCTAATTTTCTTTTTAATTTTGTAACTTTGGCCTCACATATTTTGAGTCTGTTATTAGGTGGATGCACATTTGTTATTGGTATCTTTCTGGTGAATGGAGCCCTTTATCATTATGACGTATTCCTCTTTACCTCTGGAAATTTTTATGTTATAAAGTTTATTTAAAAATATAATATTATAACCACTATGTCATTTTTTACTTACTGTTTGCACAGTGATATGGTTTGGCTGTGTCCTCACCCAAATCTCATCTTGAATTGTTTCTCTCATAATCCCCATGTGTCATGGAAGGGACTGGATGGGAGGTAATAGAATCACGGAGGTGGATTTTTCCCATGCCGTTCTCATGATAGTGTATACATCTC